CAACAACTTGAACGAGAGCGAGGCCCAACAGATGTCTTGATATACAGGGGGATTAAGGATGGCGATTTAGGACCGTTTATCACTACAGCAGACCTATACCTTAGCAGATACAGTTAGCCTAGCCGAGAAGGTGGAGCGACAACTCGGACGAAATATTAAAGGATCATGGGCAGGTTCCGACGGGTCGCGCACGAGTTTCAAACGTGGTGGAAGTAAACAGTCTCAAACTATTTCTGAGCAGGATGCAACAACAGAGAAGGTCAAGGGTCCAGCGACAACAAAAGCAAAGAAGCCTACCCCAGCGAACCCTTATGTCAAGCCTGACCTGATCAAGTGTTACAGATGTGGATAGCCTGGTCATCGGTCCAATCAGTGCCCTAAGAGAGGTACTGTGAACATGGTGGATCATGAAGATGAGGATACAGACCGAGACGATGTTGAAGACTATGATGATGTGTTGGACGCTGATGATGATGGGGAACAACTCTCATGTGTTGTGCGGTGACTATTGTTGGCTCCAAAGGCAGAAGAACCACCACAGAGACATAACATCTTTCGAACGAGATGCACGGTGCAACAGAAGATCTGGGATGTCATCATTGATAGTGGGAGCAGCGAGAATATTGTCTCTCGGCACATGGTGGAGAAGTTAGGGCTGAAGACGGAGAATCATCCTGCTCCTTACAAGATCGGCTGGATTCGCAAGGGTAATGACGTACATGTTGATGAAGTGTGTCGAGTATCCTTTTCCATTGGCCGAACTTATGTGGATGAGGCATTGTGTGATGTAGTAGAGATGGATGCATGTCATATGTTGTTATGCAAACCTTGGCAGTTTGGTGTTGATGCCACGCATAGGGGGAAGATAACGTTTATATCTTCAAGAAGGATGGTCGCCAAATTGTGCTCAAGCTTCTAACCGAGAAGGGGCCTATCAAAACCAATGCGGCTGAAAAGAAGAATTTCTTGGTCATTGACAATGAAGACTTTATAAAAGATGTGAAACAGTCTGATGAGATTTATGCCCTTGTAGTTTCGAAAAAAGAGAAGTCTGCCACTGCCGAAATTCCACTTGAAGTACAGACCCTCTTACAGCAGTTTTGATGCAGTTATGCCTAATGATCTTTCTTCTGAATTACCCATGCTTAGGGACGTTCAACATCAGATCAACTTTATCCCTGAATCTCGACTACCAAATTTGCCACACTATAGGATGAGTCTGAAGGAAGGAGAGATTTTGCAGAAGCATGTGGATGATCTCATTCAGAAGGGCCTTATACGACCTAGCATGAGTTCGTGTGCAGTGCCAGCACTACTAGTCCCAAAGAAGAACGGAGAGTGGCGTATGTGTGTGGACAGTAGAGCTATCAACAAGATTACAGTGAAGTATAGATTTCCTATTTTACGCTTGGAAGACATGCTAGACATGTTATCTGGTTCAAAAGTGTTTTCCAAGATAGATCTCAAGAGCGGCTATCATCAGATTCGGATTAGGGAAGGAGATGAGTGGAAGACTGCTTTTAAGACAAAAGAAGATCTGTACGAGTGGTTAGTCATGCCTTTTGGTCTTTCTAATGCCCCTAGCACTTTCATGCGATTGATGAATTAGGTATTAAAACCCTTTATCAGCAAGTTCGTTGTAGTTTACTTTGATGATATCCTGATTTATAGCCAGAGTGAGGTTGCACATCTGGACCACTTGAGGGAGGTACTAATAGTTTTGCAGGAGAACAAGTTGTACATCAATCTGAAGAAGTGCAACTTCATGACCAATAGCCTCGTGCTTCTAGGCTTTGTTGTTAGTGCAGAGGGTATTCATGTTGATGAAGAGAAGGTTCGTGCTATTAGAGATTGGCCTACCCGAAGACTGTCAGCGAAGTTCGTAGTTTTCATGGCCTAGCAACATTCTATAGGAGATTTGTAAGAAATTTCAGCAGCATTGTAGCACCTATAACTGAATGCATGAAGAAAGGGAAGTTCAATTGGGGGGAAGATGCAGATCATAGCTTTGTACCGATCAAGGAGAAGTTGTCCACCGCACATGTGCTTGCACTTCCAGATTTTTAAAAAGTCTTTGAAGTTGATTGTGATGCGTCCATTATAGGAATTGGTGGTGTTTTATCTCAGGAAGGGCGTCCAGTTGCCTTTTACAGTGAGCAACTCAGCGAAGCTCGGCAGAAGTGGACCACATATGAGCTAGAGTTATATGCCATAGTTCAGTCTTTGAAGCATTGAGAGAACTATTTGATCTCGAGAGAGTTTCTGCTTCACACTGATCATCAGGCTTTGAAGACCCTTAATAGTCAGACTACCATCAACCGTATGCATGCTCGTTGGATTGCATATATGCAGCGTTTCACATTTATTTTGAAGCATAAATCCGGGCAACAGAATAAGGTTGCAGATACACTCAGTAGGAGAGCTGGATTGTTGGTAACTTTGAAGGCTGAAGTGATTGGGTTTGAGTACCTTAAGGAGCTGTATGCAGAGGATGAAGATTTTAAGAAGATTTGGGACGACTATCTTCAAAATAAATCAGTCAAAGGCTTTCATATTCAGGATGGTTATCTATTTCATGGCGATCAATTGTGCATACCCCAGAGTTTACTAAGAGACCAGATAATTCGAGACCTTCATGCTGGTGGACTAGGAGGACATTTGGGACGTGATAAAACAATTGCAGCCATTGAAGAACGATATTACTGGCCCCAGTTAAAGAAGGGAACAGAAAAATATGTGCGGCGTTGTCCAGTTTGTCAAGTTGCTAAGGGACAGTCTCAGAATACGAGATTGTATACACCTTTACCTGTTCCTGATGCACAATGGCATGATATCTCTATGGACTTTGTGTTGGGACTGCCTCGAACCCAACGAGGCATGGATTCTGTTTTTGTTGTGGTTGATAGGTTTTCGAAGATGTCACACTTTATTCCATGCAAGAAGACTGCAGATGCGAGAAATATTGCCAATCTTTGCTTTCGGGAGATAGTTCGCCTTCATGGAGTGCCGAAGTCCATTACATCCGATCGAGATTCTAAGTTCTTATCTCACTTTTGGAGAACTTTGTGGCAACGATTCAATACTTCTCTTAAGTTTAGTACTGTCTACCACCCTCAAACAGATGGCCAAACTGAAGTGGTCAATCGCACACTCGGTAATCTTCTTAGATCCATCTCTGGAGATCGACCGAAATAGTAGGATCTTGCTTTGGCACATGCTGAGTTTGCTTATAACTGTATGGAGAGTCGAACTACAAGCAAGACACCCTTTGTGATTGTGTATGGAAGGCTTCCGAATCATTATCTCGACCTTGCTCCATTGCCTAAGCTTCCCGGACAGAGTGTTCCTGCGCATCATATGGTTGAAAAGATACGTGCTATCCAGCAGGAGGTGAAGGAAAAGATAGAGCAGTCTAATGCTAAATATAAAGCCGATGCTGATCAACACAGGAGGAAGAAGATGTTTGAAGAAGGAGACATGGTGATGGTGTTTCTGCGAAAAGAACGTTTTCCCGTGGGCACCTACAACAAGCTGAAGAATAAGAAATATGGTCCATGCAAAATACCGAAGAAGATTAGCGACAACGCTTATGTGGTTGACCTTCCTACAAATTTGGGTATTTCTCCTAGTTTCAATGTTGCAGATTTGTTTGAGTATTACCCACCAGAAGAAACAACTATTCATGCAAGTGTAAGCTCGGGGTCGAGCTCTTTTCAAGCAGGGGAGACTGATGTAGAATACACAGCAGACACGTTTATGTCAAAGTGGGACAGCCGCAAGCCCAAATGCGGGACTGATCGAAGAAAAAAACTTGTTTCGAAGAAACGGCTGTAACGTTCAAACTGTACGTTGGAATTGGACGAATTATATATGAAAATCGACTATCTCGACGAGACGGAGCCATCCAAACTAGCCCCTTGGGGTTCGGTTTGCGTTTTCCGTTTCGCCAAATTCCTTACGGTTTGAGAGATATTTACATTTTTGTCCGTTTTTTACTATTTTTAGTAATATTTTAGGAGTCTGTTTTGTTTAGAAAACAAATCCGGTTTGATCACAAATTTGACCGGTGGACTTTCCTAATCATAAGGAGTCTTTTTAGGAGTTTTAATATTTTAGGAATTCTTTTACTATTTTTAGTAAAGTTTGAGTCCTTGTAGGAATTAGAGTCATTGTAGGAGTTTTGTTTCTTTTTTTATTTAAGAAGAGTCTTGTAAGCCCTAGAGATATAACTTTTTATTAATAAAATTTATCTTTTCAATATTTTCTTCGTGGATTCGAAGTTCTTCGTGGATTCGAAGATCGTTCTTTGTGGATTCAGAGAACACCCTTGGTAGATTCCGAGGTTACAACTTCCGCGCTGCGTCAGATTGCAATCAGAATCAACATCTTGACATGTTTTCAAATAAAAAGTCGACTAAAATTCCCAAAACACACTTAAAAACTCATGTGCCTAGCGTGTGACATGCCTTCTTAACTGAACCTAGTGCTTAACAAGTGCCTTTAAGGATATTTGGGGAGCTTAGTTAATATTTTATCAAAAAACAAGTGAATGTTGATAAAAAATGTTAGAGGCACACCACCCACCACAACCCCAACCACACTCCCCCCTCTCATTGCTACAGTAAACCAGGCCCCACATGAGATTTTAAATTCTTTAAAATCCCATGTGGGGCCCGGTTTACTGTAGCAATGAGAGGGGGAGTGTGGTTGGGGTTGTGGTGGGTGGTGTGCCCCTAACACCACTCAATGTTGATTGCAACGGGAAACCCTTTAAAGATGGTTTATGTATAAATTAAACTTTGAATGTAGGTTTTATGCAATTGAGATGGCTTTTATTGAAAAACCCAAAATTTTATTGAATTAGAGGCCTTTTCGGAATTTAAAAAGATTCTAAGGGGCCCTGATAAAATTTCCCAGGTAGTCCTTCGCTTGCCAGTCCTGATCAAAGCTCTAGAAAAGTTTCCCCAAGATTAATCTCCGCTTCGTTGGCCCGGAAACAATCTTTGTACGCAACCAGTTCGACGCTAATTTTAGCTTCGGATTTGGATTAGAATTTCCGAAAGGGTTGGCGCTTTTTTAGTAATCTAGAGACCTCGATTCTCCCTCCGTTCTCTTTGACTCAATCATTCCTCTCTCTCTCTCCATCATGGCGATCGCCGTTGCGCTGATGATGGTTCCTGTAGGCCTTCTGTTTCTTCTCTCGGGCTTGATCGTCAATCTCATTCAGGTGATGGGTTTTTATTCTGATCCACGAAATTTACTGTTTTGAGGGTGCTCAATTGATTTTTTGTTTGATTTTTTGAAGATTTAGTTTGGTGTGGATTGATGGGTATCTTGATTTTGTGAGAATTGGGTCTGGGATTTTTCGCTGTTCGAGTCCTGTGCAGGATGTAGAGTTCTCATTGGATGCTTATACTTATTTCTTTTGATTTAGGGTTAATGGGTATTTTAAATTCCTTAGAAATAGGGCTGCTGTAGATTTGTCCGGTTCATTTTGGGAATTATTGTAAACTCTAGTTGGCTTATTTGAGGTGGATTTCGTGTACATTTACTGAGTTTTTCTTGGAATAATGCTAGGCATTGTCTAGTTTGTCATTGTCCTTTAGAAAGTATTGCATGTGGATTTATTGTTACTTCTATATTGAAGTTTAATTTAAACCTTTGTTCCAATCTGTTTGTTATTTTGTGTATCCTTTATCTTCTGGTGCTTTTCTATCTTTCATTTTTTTTGTTCCTCATCTCTTGCTTGACATTTTTATACTAAGATGTACTTCGGTTAATTTGTATTTCGGTCGTTGTAATTGACTTGCTGAATTTACCATATTTTTTCTCTAGTCTGTCTTCTTAATTTCAGCTTAGTATCTATTCCATTTCAGTTCATTATGTTGATATATATGTAATAATATAGTGTCTTCTGTTGCTAGTAAAGTTACAATCTTTAGTTTGTTATGATTATTTGAAGTTCTCAGTATATGGTTGACGGCCCTCTGGGATGGTTGATGCATATATATTTGAAGATCTTGATGGTTTTGTGTGTTCTTTCGAGTATTTTGTTGTGTTCAAGCTTTCCTTTTCAGAATGCTCAGTTTCATTTCTTTATGGCTGGGGTTGCACCTCGTAATTTCTTTTTTTGAATTTTTAGTTTGCTTTCATCTTCTATATATTGGATATAAGTTGAACTAAGACCTTTGAACTTATTTTAGTAGAGTTATTTATGTATTATTTCTGATCTCCTAGCTTATCCGCTTGTGTTGACGTATCTTGTTTCAATGTCATTTATATTGGTTCGAGTCCCAGTCTCGTTTCCCCTCCTTGTGTGGATATATTTCATTAGTTGAGCTATCTACATAATTTTTGGTCCATTTTCCTCGCTTGCGTCAATATATTTCATTTCCTTCACTGTTGTGATCTTTTTCATGTTTGTGTCAAATCTTTCTGTAGGCCACTTGTTTTGTTGCAATACGTCCTTTTTCAAAAAACACATACAGGAAGATCAATAGAGTTGTGGCTGAACTGTTATGGATTCAGCTTATCTTCCTTGTTGATTGGTGGGCAGGGCTTAAGGTATTTATTTTTGCTTAAATTCGATTTCTAATGATTTAGTTCCTATTCTGACACTTTTTCAGCATTTTCTGTCCTTGCAATGAGCGGTGTGGAGCATATAGGATATTGTAGAGCTTATGCAAACCTCTCATGGCTAAGTATGTGTTAGGAACCATAATTGTCATTTTAAATTGATATTGGACAAGAATTGTAACTTGATTTTGGCACCACCATCATCTTTGGTCAAATTACATTAGTAATATATCTTTGGTAAAATATCATTTTGACTGCTTAGTCATTATTAATAATAGTTTAGATAAAGCAAAAGACAAGCTCTCTGGATAAAATGATGAATTATTTACAAGAAAAAGTCATGAAATTGTGGAGCTACATGGAGGTTACAGATACACCATGGCGTATTAAAGGTGGTCTAGGAACGACACGAGGTTTTGTCAGCAACAGTTGGAAAGCTTTAAAGAAACAGGTCATAGTCCTGGAAAATGGATTGTTTGGAGACCTTGTTTCTGAAGATAAACAACTTGAATTCCTGTTAAGTCATTGCCCCTTATAATTTTGATACTTGGAAGACAAAAAGCACTCTCAGAGTGATGAGAATAGAACCAATTGGTTCAAGGAGCAGAGAACTGTGAAACTGAGTAAACTCTGAACTTTGCTTGTATCCTTTCTCTGACTAAGCAAAACCATTACATTTATTGTATACCCCTTAACAGAAACGGTATGGTGTATAAATAACGAGGGAGATGATAAAAAAATTGTATTTAGTATAATAGAAGTGCTTAAGAGTAGAATTGACTATGACACGCAAGCTTTTTAGAACATTATTGTTTCTTTCAAAGAAAGCAAGCTAGAATCGAGATAAGTGGTGATAGTTTTCCAGTCAAAACTCATTACGGCTAGCATTGAGTGTCGAGCCTAAATGGGTGAATGGAAGAATATCAAGTTGACAGTTGAAGATGTCAGTTGCTGAAGTATTCACATCTAGACTAGTCCAAGTTGTAGATGAAGACTTTAATAAATTAATCTTCAAATCTGAGAATGTTTAAAGCAATAGAGAGTAGTTTGAGCAGAATTTGGAGGTGAATGAGTCATCTACGGTTATCCAGTACAAGATTATGTGTAACATCTGCATAGTGAGGGCTGACAAGACAGTGGAACCAAATGACCTTTGTGTGATGAACGATATGACATCATGGTTTGCTGGCATATCGAAGAGCATCGGTGAGGATGTCAGTGGAGAGAATGGCGATGTCTTTGGAAGTAGGTCGGCTTGTCCAATTCCACATTTGCATTTGGTTTAGGCCCTTGCAAATTCATTTACAAGGACGATGTAGAAAGCCAAGTATGCAAGAACACGTCCAAATAAGTGTAGTGTTGACCAGAGCCACATATTGCAGTTGCATTAAAGGGGATGACTTACCTAAGCTTCTTAAAGTTTAATTTGCTGAAGAGGGCATCAACAACGGAAGGGTAGGAAGCCACTAAATTTTCTCCAATAATGCTATAAAGGTTATATTGTTTCTTGATAAAAGCTAAGTAAACATGGTTGATTAGGAGTAGATTTTGAGGGGAGATGATCAACTGGATTTTTGTTACCATGGAAGACCTCTTGTTTGCAAAAAACATTATTTTTATAAGCTTAATTGTAATGCTTTAAATATCTGATATCGAGGAAATACCAGGTAGCTAGAATGTCTGAATTCATAATGGATTGTGGATATTAGGGATATGTTGTCATGATCCCAATTTTAGGATCTGGAAGGAATAGTGGAGCCAAACCAAACATGCTAATTTTTTTTTTCCAAATAGTACATTTGTCAAATAACTATGAAATTTTTTATCATCATCAAATTCATTATTAAGTATCCTCCATAAACAAAAATCTGACATTACTCCTATCAAATGATATAAATAAAAGTTCTCCCAACTAAATATAGGATTCAAATTAAAAGAGAGAATCTTATTTCTACATAATCTTTCAAAAATAATCTAAACATTAAAATATTTATCTAACCTTCACCTTGAAATAACGATACATAATAAATTAAAGATTTGCCAACTTCCTCAGTTCTTCCTTAAAAATATGAGGCTCTCCAGTACCACCTAATCCTGAGTCTCTGAAAAAGTTAATAAAACTTAGTGACTTCACAACTCAATAATTGGATAATTTTGTATATTAAACAATGGTTTGGTGAAAACTATAATATTTTTACTTCATAAGAAAAATATTAAAATAATATAAAATCATCATTGAAGTCCATACTTGGCACAACATTTTTAAAATATAATTTCATGCATTGGAAAATAAACAGGTAAGGTCTTAATACGGTTAACACTTAATACCTTGGTTGACATGGTATCTCTACTTTTATTAATCAGATAAATTATTAGATTGATATTTTAACTCAACCCTATTTTTTAATATGGTATTTATTTCTCCTCCGACATCAATATTATATTTTAACTTGTGTCCCTATGACAAATTTCGGCAAATTGTATCTTTTTTCTTAGAACATTTCTTCCATCCTACTATGCTGTCAAAATTATTAAATCTACACCCTTATTTTTATTTAACATCCCCAAATTCACCACTTTACCCAATAAGATCCTCATTTATGCCCTCTTTCTCCTTCAATCTCGCCAATTCAACCCCAAGAACCTTCATCTGAGTCGATACCAATTTCTATTAGGGTTTATATTTGAATGGGGAATTTGAAGGAGAAAGAGGGGATCCGTTGATGAGAGAAGTAGAAAGAGTGAATGAGGATTTTCTTGGGTAAAAAGGTAAAAGAATTTGAAATGGGGGAGTCTAAAGGTGAAGGATGGTGTAGATTTAATAATTTTGATAAGTCAGGGGATCAAAGGATTTTTCAAAGAAAATTAATACAATTCGCCGAAAAAAGGTCTCATTATCATCATTGGCATAAGTTAAAATACCATATTGATGCCAAAACAGAAATAATATCATATTGAAAAATAGGGCCATGTTAGAATATTAATCTGGTAATTTAGATTTTGTTAGTCCCGTGGTACTATGACGTTGACTATTGAGACTTATAATTTTAGGTTTAACGCTAAAATAAACCTCATTAAGCTCAGTTTAGATGACTTACTTATCTTCACTTACCAGTATATTGACTTGAGATGCATATGTTTTCAATTATTGAACAAACTTTATATAATCAAATACTTAATAAAATATGCCAAAGTCAAACTAATAGTAAAAACCAAATCACATATGCATCTCGACCTACCACTATATAAAAAACACGTGACTATCTACAAGAAAGCAAGCATGGACCTATATCAAAATATCCACATGCATCACAAAATATGATCCAATCAACAATTGATATTTTGAATAAATCATACAAAGTAACAAAAAGGATATAATCAATTGTGAAGTAATCCATCTATATATAAGATAATTTCTAGATGAAAATATGCAATGCATAACATATAAATTCACTATTTACCTCAAATCTAAAAGACCGTCCAAATTCCACTCACAACACCTCTGCGGAATTGCTAAGAGCCCCAAAAAAATAAATGAAAACAACCATTGATATCACTGCATATCCTAGACTCACTCAGAATAATCAGCTAATAAACTAAATTTACTTTTCCATATTATAATTTGGATTACGGATTACAATACATCAACTCAGCTTGGATTTGTAAGATTGCCGGTGATGATCGAATGCCTTTAAAGCTAAAAATCTAGTGATGGTTATTTATCCAATTTGACAAGGAACCTTATGATTTTCTCTTCCTGGTCAAAGTTAAGTAGTTATTTACTTATCATGACACAAGTCAATAAGTTATGGAATAATTACTCTATGAAGGAAAAAAGATTGTCACGATTTCAAGAGGAGAGTACTTAATCTCATGAAGGTGAAAATAAATACTAAGGATCACTTCTCCGGCATCGACTAACTCCAGTAAAATAATTTTTTTCTAGTTCTTTCTCCTCTTGTTGATATTTCAACCTTTTATTTTTTCAGCTGCGGGTTCTCAAAAGTACACAAGAGTTAGGGTTTGTTCCATTTATTAGTTCTCCATTTCTAATAAACACCTTAGAAAATTACCATTTACAAAAAAACCCTTAACAAACTTATAATGATATGCAATATTCCTAATATTTTTGGGAAAAAAACCCTTTGTAACTTAATATTTTTTAGATAGATCTGTATGAATAGAAAAAATTAGGGATATTACATATGTACTAAATACTAGAATTGAACGACGTGATATATAATTTAATATCCTAAAATATAATGTAAACATACTTCATGAAATCTAATATACAAAATGTAAATACTATAAAGTTAGGATCACTAACCAATTGTAAAAACTTATTTGGAAAAAAGAGCTTACTAGAATTTGCTAAAGAACTGAGTAGGATTAGAATTTTTGCTAAAAAAACGTTAAATAAATTTTGCTGAACTATATTGGTTAGTGACAAGTCATCTAAAAGGGCATATTTACCAACATATTGGTTAATATATCAGTTTGTATAAGATATATCATCCAAAAATTGTCAAAAAACATTAAAAGATATTGAGATCATATTGTCTTGCGGCAAGCCTTGTAAAAGACATATCAGTCGGATATATAGCTAAATCAATGATATTTAAAACAATGATTAATTGTAGATGTGCCCCTAATATTGTTAGGGGCCTAGTCACTTATTACCCCTACACTTTTTTTATTGGCACTTATACCCTTTATGTCCCAAAACATGAAGTTATAATTTCATTATATATACTTGTATTATAGGGTGTGCTCAACTCCTGTAAGAGAATAGGTGTTCCTCAGTAAAACATTAAAATATTAGTGAGTACATTGCAGTACATTGATATCCTGTGATACTCGAGACTCATATGAGAGGTGCAAACAACAAAGATATATATAGCTCTATTTACATATCAGGAGGTCTAAGTGATAATAAAAAAATTTATAGGTATTAAATCAGTAAGCCTCATATAATGTTCGAGATATCATATGCAATTAACCTTTTCTGATATTTTGAGGCCCATTCAATAAGCTAAGGGGTCAACATTGCCTGATCTTAGAAGCACCCTTGTGCTTGGGCTTGCGTCCATCAAGTGAAACATTGATCTATGATATCTTGTTTTCAACATAAGTTGCCAAACAACAATAACAAGCTGGTAATTTCTCAAAAGATTTGAACAAAAAGGTTAAAGGACATTGAACCATTTGCCTCTCATGCTATGCTTGCATTACACTAGAATTATCACTTTCACTTTTAATTGGGTGCTCGGGGATGCTTAGAGTGAAAATCATCTTAAAGGCACCATGTAAGGAGAACAACTGATCTGGATCTTGAATTATGGGTATGTAATTGACAATGTTGTAAGGAGTTGCTTCACTACTTTGAAAAGCAGTGTGGGCATCCGTGTAGCGCCTGCCTAGACAGTGGTGGTACCCAGGCCGCTAGATTAAGCGCTTAGGGCATATAAGAGGGCATGTACTGCAAAAGTGGATTGCTCCACTTTGAAAACAAGTACATGTTCTGCTTAGGCATACTAACATGTGAAGAAAATGGATCTGATGAAAATGGGTCAACGTTAAAATTCGATATCTAAATCTAAAGTAGATGAAGCAATAAGGCTAGAGTTCTGAATCCTTAAAAAAAAACCATTTTCCTTTGTTGTCTCCCTCAACCTCTCTTTGGTTCTAGAGCCGTTACCTCCTCATGTCCAAACCCCTATCAAAGCTGCCTCTGATTATCATTGTCCATGCTTTCAAGAAGTAATTTATCATTAATTCATTATTATTGTAGTTTTGTTTACATTAATTATTATTTACAAATTCATCTACTTCATGATCTTCTTCCGCTTCATCTCCATTTATCTTCCTTTCTTCATCTTCTCTATTCTTCTCCTGTGCTGTGGTAGAAGCCGTCCCCTTAGAAAATGAAACACAAAAAATGCTTCCTAAAATATTGGTTGCGTGATGGAGTTGGATTTTTTCCTATCACTTTACCACATTCAAGTAACTGAAGGAAACCATCCACATTAGGGGGCAGTGGATTTCTAGCACAATGTTAATGTGTGAATGGCATCGAGGAAAATCTTATAGTACTGTCCAAGCACACCTTGAACAAACTATTTAAAAAATATTTAGTGTAGAGTTAAATAGATATATGTATATGCATGTGTGTATAACTGCATGTACGATTACAAAAAAGCACATGTGCACGCCCAAACGCCACACACAGAGAAAAGCATACCCGCACTTGCTGGGATCAGTATGATACTGATTTCCTCCTTGTTTTAACGGTTTGTTTCATAGCATCTGGAGGAATGGGTTACAAATGCTACATATTCTTATCATGATCACCATCATTAATCCTTTTCTTATCAGTTCGCAATGAGGTTGACCAAGCATGAGCTTAAGAAGATTCGATTGAGGATTTACCACATACTAACAGTGGTCCACCTGAAATCATCCTCTATGGCCAGTGATTAATTCCTTGGAACTGATCCTGTGGGCACTGGAGAGATCAGACAAATTGTCTAGGGGACAAATTATTTTGTTCTTTTTGTGAATTTTAGTTGTCCATTGTGTTGTATCCTTTGTGTCGTTCTCTCTGAATTTTTTGTGAATTAAGATTCTTGAACAGCTAAATTTCAACACAGATAAGAGTATATGCACTAGATTCGCGTTTCATTAGCTAAATTTAGTAACACTTCACTGTGGCAGAATGCTCATTTATACACTTTGTTTTGGTGGTGTGCTGTATATAATCTTGTCAACTGTGTCTTGTTCATTTTCTTTACGTTATACATGAGGTTGTATCAATTGCTTTCTAGTTGACAATTGTAGTTGACTACTAGCATTTGACATAGAAGATCATATAATGCAATATAATAATATGATATCATATCTTATGAATATTTTTTTGGGCATTTAAACTATACTGCCATTTCTTCTTATTGCAGGTCCGTGTATATGCAGATTCTGAAACTTTTAACTCAATGGGTATGATTTTTCAACATTGAGCAACTCTAAGTCACAATTAAAAATGTATTGCTATTTATTTTAACTCAGGACACTCGTGTGACCATGATCTTACTTTACTTTTGGTAAATATAACAGGAAAAGAGCATGCACTTGTTATCAGTAATCATAGAAGTGACATTGACTGGCTTGTCGGATGGATTTTAGCTCAGGTGCATAATTTCTATTTTCATGGATTATCACTATCAAGAAAATGAATTAATTGGGATTATTTGGCCATCCTACTAGTGATCATGAGCATTACACTTGGAAGAAGAATTTATATTTTCCTTTGTAATGTTGATCTATGCTTATCTTTTTTCTATTTGTTGTTGATTCTATTTTCTTATCAGCGCTCAGGTTGCCTTGGCAGTGCTTTAGCAGTGATGAAGAAATCATCTAAATACCTTCCAGTAAGTTTTCATTACAATACTGATGTTCTGTTTCTTCTTTGATGGAAAATGTTCCCCAAAACTTGTTAGTTTTCGAATCAATTCCTTATTCTTTCATCAAAAACGTTTTCCCATGGTTCTCTTCGTAGTTATATATATGTAGCAAATGAGTCGATTATCATTTAATTTAGTTTGAGAAAGATAATGTCCAACTTTAACCTAGAGCTTAAAAATTCAACTCTTTTATTGTATATTTCAATACAGATACTTTAATAATAAACAAAGCATTTAATTTGTAATCCCTAAAACATCTTTCATTTATAATGAGAAATTTAGACGTACTTTCCTATAAATCCCAGGCTGATGTCAGGATTCTTAGCTCAGGGAAAGGGAGACTTTAGACCCTTGTTTGACATTGATAAAAATCCTCATGGGACAGTAGTTGTCAGGATAAGCTTTTTGTATTTCTGGTTGTTTTTGTGAGATAAATCAATTCTTCCTTTATGTTGGGGATGACACTTAGCTAACTTCCAGAGTCCATCAGGAGATTTTTGAGAAATGAATAGGCATTAGCATATGCAATTGCAGGTGCAGTTGTTTGTTTCATTATTTTTTCGTAACAGTAATTGCAAAAACGTCACTTTTTGCAAAAACAAATTGAAGCAAAGTTGACAGTTAACTAGCGTGTTTTCACAACATTCTCATTTTATAACTACATGTTTTCTATGTTTAATTCCAACTTCGTGATTTTCTATGGTTACAAATATAATTCGTGTAAACAGGTGATTGGTTGGTCCATGTGGTTTAATGAATACCTCTTTCTGGAGAGAAACTGGGCTAAGGATGAAAACACGTTGAAGGTATGATCTTCTGAAGACAATAATTTCTTAAGAAGTCTTTATGTTTTTTTAATAATAAATTGTACTTGATCCAATCATGCAGTCAGGCATGCAGCGGTTGAGTGACTATCCTCGACCATTTTGGCTGGCTCTGTTTGTTGAAGGCACTCGGTTTACCCCAGCGAAACTTTTAGCAGCTCAAGAATTTGCAAATTCACAGGGTCTACCAGTTCCTAAAAACGTTCTGATTCCTCGTACTAAGGTGATGTTTTTCTTTTGCCTCTATTGTAACCAACACCAGCTTTTAGAATATTTTTATCTTGCTATTGAATTGATAACTTTATTTCTCTAAATCAGGAATGTGTTTTCTTTTACTTATCTTTTCATCTATACCTTTTCTATTGAAACGGGGGTCAAACCTCTAGCACAAGGCTACATATCTAACAAAGCCAAAATTTACAATAAAGATCAAGATGCAAAATTTACAATACAAATCAAGATGACAAACAATTACAACAGAGCCTTTGTCCAAACTTTTTGGGGTCAGCTATATGTATCCTAATGTTTCATTCATTTCTGTTATGGTCCATTGCCTCCATTAAGTAAATATTATCATATCATTCTTAATTATTTCTAAGTTCTTTTAAGTCCACATCTAGTTCTCTTTGCTTCATTAGCTATAATCTTATCAATTCTCGTAAGTGGTGTGTTTGCTGGCCTCTATTATACGTGGACGAACCATATCAATCTATTCTATCTCCTTATCATCGAGCATTATTGGTCTTATAGTTGGTCCTTAGAAAAATTTCCCTTCAGTCTCATGAGTATTCTATGATCACATAATACTCCTGAATCACTTATCTATTTTAACCGTGCTACTTTTAGATGATGTACCACATCATCCTCAATCTCACCATTTTGACGAATAATTGATCCTAAATAACAAAAATGATCACTCTTAGATATTTCTTGACCATCAATATGTACTATGGAATCGTTTCTCTTTAGATTGTTATTAAAATTAGACTTTGGGTATTGTGCTTTTTTTCTACTATTTCTAAATCCTTTTGTTTGCAAGTTGCTCTTAACCTTTCTACTTTATAAATTATCCCTTTTTAGTCTCATTAACTAATACTATATTGTCCATAAATAATATGCACCGTGAGACTTCATCTTGGATATGTCTATTAACTTGATTTATTACTAGTGCAAAAAGATAAGGGCTTAGAGATCCTTGACGTAAATATATGGTAGTACAAAATGATTGTATTTCACCTTCATTTGTTCTCACATTATTATATGTACTAGATGCTTGTTCTAAAACTACCACATTATATCTCTAGAGACTGAATTATAAGCTTTTTCTAGATCATTGAAAATATATGTATATTCTTTCTCTTCTCTCTATATTTTTCCATTAATCGTCTTAATATGTTAGGTTCCATAGCTGACCTCCCAGTTTGAAAGCCAAATTGGTTCTGATATACTCTTGTCTCATTGTTAGTCTACTGCCCAGTTACTCTCTCCTAAAGTTTCATAGTAAGTCTCATAAGTTTGACATCTTCCCAATTGTCCCAAAATCAAGCTAACAAATAACTCAATTTATGACCATGCTAGCAAAGACCAATCTTCAAAATTCACCATGCAATAATATAGAAGAGAAAGAGAAAGACGTTACGTATTCTATCTGTAATTTTCAATAGTCTGTTAACAAGGCATTTCATGTCCTTGTTACTCAATTATTTATATCTAGATGTTTCTGGAATCAAACCTGCTAAATTAAAAAAAAGCTATATTATCCAAATATTTTTCAGTTTATCTTGTTTATCACATTACACCAAAATCATAGTGTATCAAATCCTTGTTAACTCAATTTATATGTATCTCTATGTTTCTGGAATCAGAACCTGCTAAATTAAATAAGAAGAAGAAGAAGATATTATCCAAATATTTTCAGTTCGTCTTGTTTATCACATTACACCAAAGTCATTGTGTATAAAATCCTCGTTAACTCAATTATGCGATGTTTCTGGAATCTAGACCTGCTAAACTTTAAAAAAAAATATCTGACATTATCCAAATATTTTCAGTTCAGCTTGTTTATCACATTACACCAAAATCATTGTGTATCAAATGCTTGTTGACTTTTGAAATTTAGCTTGTCTTATCTACTTATCAAATGCTTGTTGACTTTTGAAATTTAGCTTATCTTATCTACGTACTTTAGTGTTCTATACTATACATCATATATAGCTGGCATATCTAGTTGTATGATATGACCCTTAGAAACCTTGTCGTAAATATTGGAAGTAGAATCCTTACGTATTTAGACTCTTTTAAACCCTATTGAATATTTATGTTATCACTTTACCTCTATACCAAAATAGAAAGATTTAGCTGCTTCTCCTGGTTTAGCTAGTGCCTTTCATTGCTATACCTTTCTCATTCTGCTCGGACCCACGAAAGGACTGATAATTTTTCATTCTAGTTGGATGCCATTTTACTGGTTATATGAATGACTTCGATCACATGCTGGAAGAAATCTTCTGTTCTTAATAGTTTACCTACAAAAAGTGACGCATGGTGTAGCTAGCTACAAAAACGATGAATATTCTTTAGGTTTCATACCTCATGTATTTAGACTCTTTTAAACCCTATTGAATATTTATGTTATCACTTTACCTCTATACCAAAATAGAAAGATTTAGCTGCTTCTCCTGGTTTAGCTAGTACCTTTCATTGCTATACCTTTCTCATTCTGCTCGGACCCACAAAAGGACTGATAATTTTTCATTCTAGTTGGATGCCATTTAACTGGTTATACGAATGACTTCGATCACATGTTGGAAGAAATCTTCTGTTCTTAATAGTTTACCTACAAAAAGTGACACGCATGGTGTAGGTAGCTACAAAAATGATGAACATTCTTTAGGTTTCATATCATGAATATCCAACTAGGTGTTGATACTGGCTTGCTGTCTAACTAACACAACCTTTCTCCTTTATCCTGGGTTAGAACATGCTTGTAAAGGTAGACATTAAGCACAAACACTGCTGGAGTTACAGTCTAGCTAGGTGTTCATCATTTTACTGCTGTAGGATACAACACGATTTGCAGTAAAATCACTTTTGCTCTCATGTATGTTGTTGACATGAATTGGTTTTGGAAGTACAAGTGGCTGATTCAAAAGTTCTGTAGATTGTTGAAACATCAATTTGTTTATTGGTTCATTCCTACTGAGGATCCTCTTGCTCACCTCTTCAAGCCGAAGCTGGGATATCTAGACTCACAAGGAGGAGCCTGGCTTTTATTCTCTGCTTTACCACATACAGAGTACAACTTAAATCAGCATTCCCCCTCTTAAGAGACATTTTTGATTCTGGATTAAGCCCATGTTTATCTTTGAGTTTTTTTTCATTCTTTCAGTGTGATAAGAGTTTATTTTATTTGGACTAAGATATTAGAGCTTGAGTCATTAAAGAACATAGATTCTCCCCTTTTTCCTCATGGAATTTGCTTTATATGTATATACTGTCATTAGGAATGTCACTATTAATGTCGTTAAATATAATCGATATAGGCTGAAATGTTAAGGTAAACACACATGTTTGTTTCCCAGTCTGATGATATTTCAAAATGGTTTGTCTTGATATTATACAGTCTCATTGCAAGTTAACATCACATTTCTGACATCTCCAATTCATTTGTCTCCAGGGTTTTGTTTCAGCTGTAAATAATATGCGCTCATTTGTTCCAGCTATATATGACTGCACAGTTAGTGTTCCCAAAGATCAACCCTCTCCTACAATGCTTAGAATTTTGAAAGGACAATCATCAGTGGTATGTTTACCAGATGCAGTTTCCTAGGTGCTCTATTTGAAATGTCTGTGTGAAAGTTTTTTTAGTTTTTAGTTTATCATTGTTAGTGGGGATCTTAATTCATTATTTAATTCTTATAATTGAATGCATCATGGTGCAAACTGCCAAAAAGCAATAATTACAGTAAACAAGAAATTCAGAATTAGGATAGATAGAATACATCATTGTAAGATCATAGAATATAGTCTCAAGGATGACTATCAAAACTGATTTTGCTTTTATGGTCACGTGTGTTGCAGGATACATTGTTTTGACAGTTTTCCCTTTTGTACTTTATTTATCTTTTATTTAACCCTTAACAAACTTTGTGGGTTAATAGGTATAAACAAGGGTAGTTTAAATCTACACATTAATGCCTTCAGCAACCATTTCCAATAGTTTGTTACTTTTCAAAAGTTACAAATTCATGGTGGTTTTCTCTAATAAAAAGTCTATGGTAGTTTTGAGCAAACCCCCGAAAGTTATGGCAGTTTTTTGAAATTTACCCTGATAAAATTTCATTCAGTTTGCATCTTTGCAATATCATTTTTTTGCTGAGACCATCATCTTATTTAGGTACATGTGCACGTCAAACGTCATTCTATGAAGGAGTTGCCTCAGACTGATGATGGAGTTGCCCAATGGTGCAAAGACACCTTTGTAGCAAAGGTATTTCACTTAACTGTTTCATATTTCATAAACAGTATCGAAAAATTTATGGAACTCCTACAATATAAACTTTATAACCATATCAGCTTCATCTATGTGGGATCCCAATTAATATGTATATATCCGCTACTTCTAACCCCAACCCCCACCACCACCACCCCCCAAAAAAAGAGGAAAATGAAAAGAAAAAAGGTTATTTGCATTTAAATACCCAAGCTTACCTTCTCTTTGACTTTCATACCTCAGTTCATTTTTGCCCAAAAATACCCCAATATTCAGCAAAATAAAATTTTTACACCCCAGAGTTAAACAAAATTTAACTTTGATACCCCAAACTTAAATGATTTGTTAGGTATTTTTGAAGTGTGTGGGTATCAAAGTTAATTTTTGTTGAAGCACCGGATATCAAAGCTAAATCTCATTGTACTTCGGGGTTCTTTTTTTGGTGAAAAGAGAACTTTTGGCATCAAAGTTAAAAATGAGCTAACTGGTATTTTTTCAGGGCAGAGAAAGTACTTAAAGCTATCAAAGTTGAAATGGAGTATATAAATGCAAATAACCCAAAAAAGAAAACATAAGAAACCACTAATCTGCACGAAAGAATGGAGCGTATTTGACTAAATCAGTCTCTTTCTTCTCTCTTATTACTTTATCATTTTCTCTATGCAACAGGTTGTTATATTTTGGGCCTCTCTCCTGTCATGTACTGCTTTTAGATTCTTGAAATGGACTTCGCTCCTTTCGACATGGAAAGGAGTTGGCTTTGCAGCTCTGGGATTGTTACTGGTTACGCTCGTTATGCACGTGTTCATTCTGTATTCACAGGCCGAGCGTTCAACTACTGCTAGAGCTGCTCGAGCAAGAACAAAGAAAGATTAGTACCAGAATTGCGGGTTCCAGCTGCTGCTCTAATTGAGGGGAAAAAAAGCTGCATCCATAGTTTCTTTCATGATACATATCATTATAATCTGCATAGGAATTTGTAGAAATGTCCTGTCTTGTTTTGTATTAAGTTTTTGGCTTTTTATTTTTTTATGTATGGGGACTTTTAAGGTGTTTATAGATGATCATATTTGATATGCATATTGATTTGTTACATTGCTGTTTGATACTTTGGTACCATTTTTAATAGTTTTCTATCAGGCATGGAAAATGTGTCTTTTTCCTGAAACAAGTAAGGTGAAGACATACCAGTGACTCTTTTGGCTTTAGTAATTCCCTGCATGCCACTATAGAGTAAATTGAATAAAATATGCACATAATTGCTGTTTTTCTCCCCCTTCATGTGTATATCATCTAATGACATGACTCATAAAGAACATACTTTCTTTTATCGTGTTTCCAATCACGTGGACATTAGCTTAATGCATTAGCCGCTGCTTACCATGTACATATAATCTGATGGTACTATGACTCACAAGGGGTTGATTGGTCCATGGATTTCATCTTGATGCATGTGAGTGATTTTGAAAAATTCATATTCCAAATTTTATTTGCAATAGACGTCAAAGAGTGTTTGAATGAAGGATAAAATCCATCTAGATTTTGTTTGGTCGAATATGAATTTTGTTAAGGATATGAGACCGAAGCAACAAATTTGGGTGAAATCAGCACTATATTAGAGATCACATTTGGTGCATTTATTTTACATACCAATCCCAAATTCATGGCATAAAAAATGTTAAGCAAACAATGTATTTGATAAAATCTACATTTTTCATTTGTGGGTCTCATTTTTCAAGGCAAAGCCCAACAAATGCATGGAAACAAGCCGCCCCTAAAAGATAATTTCTTGAGTAGTGAGTAGTGATAACACAGCCTCAAGTAAGCTGCTTCAGAAGTCTACATATTCCTATCCCTTTGCACATATTTGTCATATACAGTACATTTGTGATAATACTTACATTCACCTTTGATATAGGTTTGGAAATTGGAAGGAGGTGTCAATGCGAAGGAGCCTATAAGTTTATCGTCTACATGTAAACTCACGTAACATCTAACCTCCTTTATTGGAAAACTAAGAGATGTTTTTTCCCTTTTCAAAACCCAACCTGAAATCAAATCTAGGACCGTGGGAGTATTGGAACATTCGAACCATCTGGATCACCTAGGGTGGATAACTAAGATGATGGATTTGGTTAGAAGATGCAAATGGGTTCAATATTTCAAATTGGAAAAATACAATTTTAGAAGGTGTATTATTCTTGTACTCCTGGAATATAGACAAAAAAAGGAATTCACGAAAACCGATAATTTCTCTTTGCAATTTAGATTTGGTGGACAATGGTAAACAAAGAGAGAGGAAGAGACAGGGTGAGTGAAGTGTATGTTTCCTATTAATTTTCTTCCCTCATTAATATCGCCCTTCGGCTAAAGTTAGTAAAAGCATTGCACTTTACAAAAAAGGATGACACTATTTTGTGTCTACTGGTGCAAAAAGAGTATAATACTTGTAATTGTCGTATGATCTAGCTTAGAAGAAGATAACACCATTGAAGAGAGACAAGAAAAGGTTAAAAGAAGTAACTCGTTAAGTTCTATATACTAGGTGGGAACTGTGGGATGCACGTGCGTTAAATATGATCAAATATTTTAATTATTTCTTTTTTGTACTTCTATTCTATAACTGTATTGTCGGCAAAATTATTTTATAGCTTGAATATGTTTTATGAACGAAAAAACAGAGAAAGTTAAAATAAATACGAAAAAATTCAATTTAGGAGAAAATATTATAAAGAAATTTCAAATGTCATATATAATAATACATATATTTAAGATTGAAATGAGTAAAAAATACTAAATCCATGTGAATCAGGGTTAATTATTGGATGACCAATTCTTAATTGTTATTGTAGTCGTCATCTCAGTAAGTTGTTTTAATGAAGTGACACCCACATGTATGAGTTTTCTTGATATCATCTAAATCATTAGTATTTTATTATTAGTCCCTTAAATCTTTATATTTTGATATTAGTCTTTCAAATTGTAGAAATATGTTGATATTAGTCCATGTGGTTAATTGAAATTATAAATGATGGGGACTGTTCTATTATATTTTACTTTTTAAAGGAAATTAATAATTATTTCCTCAGTCCTATATCCAAACCCTCATACCTATTAAACTTATGAAACCAATAAAAAGACCCAATTCTAACGTCTTTCAAATCCAACTTCTCCAATGACCCAATAAAACATGAACTCCTCTTCTATAACGACTCTTTCAATTTTTTGGAGGANAAGTGGGTAGAGGGTATTTTGGTAGCTAAAAAACACCCATGGTTAGTCCCAGCCTAATCATCATTAAGGATTTTAAATAGTATACATAACAAAGGGACTAAGCCTACATATTTTTGCAATTTGAGGGACTAATATCAAAATATGAAGAATTGAGGGGATAGTATCAAAATACTAATGATTTAAGAAATTGACATTTAAAAAACCCATCTATGTATTAATATAGAAGAAATTTGCAAAATAGACCTATTTTGCTAAATATTTAGCAAAACAGACCGTTTTGCTAAATATTTAGCAAAACAGACATTTTTTTGGCCAACAGACCAAAAAAGAGATCGATTTTGCAAAACAGACCATCCGAAACATACGGGACTAGTAGTCCTGTATGATTTAATAGTGGTCTGTTTTGCTAAATATTTAGCAAAACGGTATGTTTTGCTAAATATTTAGCAAAATAGGTCTATTTTGCAAAATTTTCCATTAATATATTCATTAATGTATATAATTTATGAATAAATAAGATATATGACTGCTCTTGTTGCAAAAGTTATTTTGTAGATGATCGTAAATAAGTTCTAAATCTTAATATTGTTCCTTCTTTCCTTCTTGAGCTCGTGTCATTAAATTTCATGATATTTTCTTACCATTTAGATTCACTCTATTTGACCAAATTTAGCGAATTTCCAATTTTTTAAATTACTAAAATGTAAGGGTCCTTTTTGAAGTTTCATCATTATTTCTTCTATGAAGTTTTCAACTTTAATGATTAACCCAGAAAATCAAGTGGTGCATGATGGCAAGGATGAGCTAATTGTGCGCCCTTAGAAACATTTGTAATTTGAAACATTTGTAATTTGGATTTTTTTTACAAATTTCTGTAAACTTATGTTCTTCACCAATTTTGTAAAATCTTGGATTTTTTCTGCAAAACTTATAATATATTGAAGTCTTCTTGGTTTTGGTAAGTTCAGTGAATCTTTTCAAAAACTATACAATTTTTGAAAATATTTTGGTTATTTCTACTAATTTTGTAAGTTAATTTAGTTTTATAAAATCTTCAAATTATGGAAGTCTTTTGGATATTTCTATGAGCTGTGCAAGTTCTACGTATTTCGGATGTTTTTAGCTTGATTAATGACATATACTTAACATTTGCTCCCTTAATTATGAAGATAATTTAGGAGTGAGAATATTTCATAATATCACCTAATTATCTTTATCTTTATTTTTAAATTTAAATATAAGAAATGAATGATAAAATAAAGAGTTCTATTTTTTATTTATTAGGTGCCAAATTTAAATCTTTAAATGGTCAAAATTTTAAACCTTTATATATTTTATCTAGTAAATAAATTTTTAAGTTTTGAGATTTTCTATTTTGTAATTTTTTGAGAACTAGTTGAATAATTTATTTAAGTTTTGAGTTTTTCTATTTTGTGATTTCTTGAGAAGTGGTTGAATATGGAGATTGAAAATTTTCTATAGCTTTTATCTTATTAAATATATCTTAATTAATTAGAAATTATTGCAATGAGATAATATTATAGTTATTTCTATTAATTAGGATAATTTAAAATGTAAGGAATTCTTTTGGCTTTTTGTGCAAATTTTATAAATTTTTGCAAAAGTTTCAATATTTTAAATTATTTTGGGTTCTGGTGTAAATTATATAATTTCCAAAAGTCTTTTGGGTATTTCTACTAACTTTTAGGTCAATTCTTGTTTGTAAAATCTTCAAATTATGTATTTTAGGTATTTTCACGAGTTGCGTAAATAAAATTTTAAGTTTTGATATTTTCTATTTTGTAATTTCTGAAGTTGAGCTATTATCTTTAATTTAATATAATTTTTAACATACTTAAATCAAAGTTGAGCTTATATACATATTAATTGGGATATATAAGTGAAGCTTATATCTATTATTAATTAAAATTAATTAAAAATGGAATATAATAATTATGTAATATCTATAGAAAATTTTTCTTAAACTCCCACTTCTAAAGGGGATTATGATCTTTAAATGCATGAATATGTCAACATTAACCAAAGAGGGTTAGAGTCAAGGCTTGGCTTCACATTAAAAATATTTCAAATTGAATCTTAATTAGTTAGAATATTCTCAAGGCAGAAAAGTCCAAAAGGCAAAAGTCAACTTCTTAAAGGAGAGATCACATCATCACATGGGAAGATCATATTCCTTTAATAATTTCAGCAGTTAAACATTTATAAAAGGGCTTTACTTTAATAATCTCACTAAGTATATATTTAGAGTGGGCTTTAAATTTGATTACTATACAAAATGTTTGCCAAGGAGGCCTGTGATGGAATATAAGGCACCGAACATTATCCAACTTCAAATTATTGGGAAGTTTAGGCATTTCATGGTGGCTTCCCTAGTCATGGTCCAGATATCTCACTGAAATAAATAATAAGAACTTTTTTAAATGGAGAACTTAGATTTATTTCTCACTGAAATAAATAACACGTTTTAGTAAAATAGTACTGTAGACTTAGGTTCTCTTTGATTAAATTGTTTAACGATTTTTGTGAAGATAAGTGATGAGCTGTTAGTTAACGAACTCTTGTTAGAAATAATTTGATTCTCAAAGCGTAGAACACATTGTTTTTAAAAGCGGGCCTGCATCACCAACTCTTTTAACTTGTGTACTGGGATTACCAATAATACTACATTATTGTACTTTTATTTATTTATAAAGGACCAATAATATACTATATCATAAAGGGAGACATTCTGATAACAAAGGAAAGGAATTTGATTCTCTTTTTTAATAGAAAAAAAAAGAGATTGATGGGTGATTTATTAAAAAAGGGAAAATTGTGGCAATGCCCCAAAAACAATATTTTCATGTGCTAC